ATTGATAAATTCAATTTTTAATGAAGAAGCATATAGTATGAAAAGAATTGAGTATTCCATCTAATTTTAACATTGATTGTTGATAAAATTTTAAATTGACATTTTCTCAAAAACTCTAAAAGAAAAACCAAAAGGTTTGTTTTTTCTTTCACTATTGAATTTGTTTATTTTGCAAAAATAAATAATCTACCAGAGAATAACTAGAATCACTTTCTAGATTCTTGCTAAGGTTTAATTTGAAAACAAACTAAGTGAAATAATTTGGGTATTCACTATATCTCTCTTCATTAGTCAATTCTGTTATTGATGAAAAGGTGATTGCAAGATACGCCTTGTATTAGAGAAAATAGTAGCTTTGCACACACTCTGTGTTCACGTCTCCTAAGAGGATTAATATTTACGTGTAATATGAGGATATCTTCTGATTTTTGTCACATACCGTTATATGTATATAAAGAAAGTCGTAATATGACAACTCACAAGTACTAATTGACTGCGTCATCGATTAATCATTTCTTGAAAACGAGTTTTTTTAAAATTACGAATTTTTATAGATAAGACTTAATGCTGCTTTTACGAAGCACCATATAAAAGGAGTGCTAAATATGTATAGGATAGAATTTTACATCCATTCTTTCACAGACGGTGATAGACACTAGCCAGAGTCTATTAGAGATCCGGACAGAGATTTTTGGTATATTATTCAAGACCATAAATAAATAGCATTGCGTTCTAGTTTCTTAACAAATTCCTTATTAAATTTCGAGAAGATAAAGCAAAAAAGATGATGAAGAAATATATCTGAAAATGTGTAGAATAAAGAAATCTTTCTGTGATTAGGAAGAGCATTCACGTCATCTTTCACATTTTAATCCCATGATTATTATGCTAACAGCTTTTCTGAATTATTTTAATTATGAATTCGATAGACTAGCAAACAAATATTTATCTTTTTAATAGGAACTAAAATATTCCAGGTTAAATACTGTTCATCTAAATACATTTATAAGAAAGTGATCAAGACTTTAATAGTATTTTGTAAGATATTTTTAAACGAATAAATAAACGATTGAAAAATCATTCAAGTATTTTTTTACATTTAAAGTCTTGAGAGGTTTATCAAAGACGTACAATAATTTAATATTATTTTATACAACATGACTAATTCTGTTCTTTTTTTTTTTTTTGATTACTTTAAACAAAAAAAAGTCAGAAAACTGAATATATTGATAATTTAAAAAGAACTAATAAATAAATAAAAAAATATACAGAAAAAAATGTTCATGATAATGAAATCAATTTAAAAGTAAATCGTTTGTCAAATTGATTAATTGTTGATGGTTCTTTGGCTTGAACTAAAATTAAACCAGGTTCGGCTTCATTATTTAAAGCAATAAAATATTTTTTGGAAAGATTTATTGTTTGAAAAACGACTGTATCAGTTTGAACATCAAATATTAATTTAAATGTTGCATCTTTTTTAAATAAAGGAGAATAATCATATTTTGATATTTTTATTTGAGCATCTTCATGACGTATATATAAATTTGGTGATGATAATGAAAGAAATGATACATAAACTGACGACGTATCTAATAAATTCAAACCTTTTTTCATAATAAATAAACTTTTATCATTTGTTGACATTGATATTAATGATTGATTATCATTTGGACGAAAAAATTTTGTTGATACATAACGATTGTCAAATGTCGATTGAATAAATAAAGCTTGTTCGAAATATTTAACTGTTCGATCTAAATTTATCATCAAATATGTTTCTTTTTTTCAAGAAGAAGAAAAATAATTTAGACTTACACAAAGCAACATTATGAATATAATAGAGAATTGATTGTTTAGGTGAATTTATAAGTGGCAATGAGAATTTTAATGATGAATTTGGTAAATCACCAAATAATTTTCTATTTGATGTTATAAAATTAATTTCAACTGTTTGACATTTATCAGCACAATATGAAGGAAAATTAATGCCAACAAATAATTCCAAAATATAACTGCATATTAATTTTTCTCTATTGTTCACGTCTCTGGAAAAATTTTTTAAATTAAAACAAATAGAAACATAAATAAAAAACGATTTTTAGTTATTCTCACTTATGATTGTTTCAGTATTTTAGAAATGGATGAAATTTAATGAAAATGACAACATTATTTCAAAATAAATACGAAATTTTCATAGATTTTGGTAAATTTGTATTTATAATTACAAAAATAGGTTTTCGCCTAAAAACTAGTTATGATTTTTATAACTTCGCATCAATATTTCAGGTAAAGTGTGCTCTAACAGATGATGAATATGAATTACTAAGTAATTAAAAAAAACAAAAAGTTTCAGCTGTAAAAGAATTCAATTTTTTTCTTTAATGATTATGTTAACAGTAAAGGAGAAAAGAAGTGAAGTAGTTATATAATATTGACCCTTAATTATTTGTTAGGCAACAAACAAAATAAAATGAATAAATAATCAGACGAAAAATCAACTGAAAGTGCTGCACTTTCAATCAATAAGACAAAAATTCCAAATATTATTGATTATTCTAATTAATTTCAATTATAATCAAATAGAAATAATTTAAAACAATTAATTTTATCTGATTTTACTAAGCAATGTACAATGGAATTACAAAACATTTCCTTCGATTTTCATCAATTACAAGAAATATTCAAAAATAAATATTGAATCGATTAGTAATCGAAAATAATCAGAATTATCAATAGAATTTTAACTATATGAAATTATTGCTTATTATTTTTATGCTTAATCCGATAGTCACTTATGAAAACAATATTTTGACCAGTAATCAATTAGTTTTGAGACATTTGTATCTCATGATGTATGATAGTCGTACTTTAAAGTATCTATGTAGGAAATATATATGACATCTCACTGTAATCTATTCAAGTCATTAGTAGAAATGACTAAGAGGTTTTATAGACAATTCGAAAAAAAGAAATAGTTGAAGTATTACATAGAACGAATAGAAATGCGCTTAAATGATGTTGATTCAAAAAAATCAAAAAAATGTTTGAAATTTAGACTTGCTTGATCCTTTCAGATGACATAAGTACTGCATGAATTCTAAGAACAGCCAACTGAATTTTGACATGGCGAGTTAAAATTCCATTTAATTCCTCAGTAGTCTAAACAAAGTTGAATTTAATAAAAATAAAATCTTAAAATAATTAATAATTAGTTCACCATTGTTTGGATTAAATCATTGACTTTTTTACTACGAAATACATTAAGTGGTTGACATATAGCTTGCTGGATTGTATAATCAATTCGAAAATAATGATCATAATTATCTTTTTTCATCAATAATTGTTTTTCATCTGTTTTTCTTAGTGAAGAATTACTTTCAGAACGTCTATGTTCCCTATAAATATATATTTTTTTCTTATTAAAATATAAAACCAAATCAGAAAAATGTTCTTACTTGTGTGTTTCCAAATTATATGAGTTTCGTTCAAGTTTTTTCGATTGATGTCGAGTTACCACAATCATTAACACAAATAAACCAATAAACAGATTACCAGTTGAAATAAAACCATTAAAAGTTGATATTCGTCGACGATTACATGAACTATAGAAAAATTTTTCAAATTATTATTTTTAAATAAACAACAACATTACAAGATTTTTCGAAAGCATCTAGACATTATTTATGTCGATTGAGTTATGAAATAGAAATATGAATCTGAAAATATATAAAGAGAATATTTATTAATGTTTGACAAATTAAAAGTATCAAATACATTGTTTGTATATCATATTCCAAATGTATTTTCTAAATCATTTTCGTTTCATTAGTGAACAATTGTCAAGCAATTATATTGTTATAATTAAAATTTTAAGACCTCCTTCTAAAAAAGAATCAATTTTCATCAAAGAAAACAGAAAATGAAAATAGATGCATGAAACGATAGTTCGAGCCTTAATGCCTAATCTTTCATAAATGATATGATTTTTTCATTTGAAACTTTGTTTTTCTGCATAAATTCTAATGATTTTTATCATCATCTGCTTGAAAAACAAACGATTTTTTTAGCAAACACGAGTAAAGTTTTGCATTTTTTTTTGTTTATACATTTATGATTGTACATTTCAGAATTGTCTGTCGACATTTATTCTATACCTTTAATTTGTTTGATTTGAAAGAACAGGTCAAGATACAGTACAAAGTACTATTTTCTTTTTATTAAGATTTGTTTCTACTGTATATAAAAATACTGATATAAATAGACACTCATTTTCAGAGAGGTTTTTATAATCATTGAACTTGTCATACTTTTCTGAATTGCATTGCATTTTCACATGCTCTTTCAAACAAACAAAAAATTAAGTGTATAGAATGAGTCTGAACTAAGAAATTTGATTCACTAAATGAAATTTTTTTGATCCTTGTTTTGTGCATGTCTCTGTCAAACATGTTGATATGGAGACAAACATGTTATCTGAATTTCTTTACTACAATCTCAACATAGTCTCTAAGTTTCAGACAATTTGAATGTATCTGGCGCGAAATCGATTTTTAAGAAGAAGGAGGAGACCTTAAAATCTTCATCAAAAGATTTTACATTTCAATCATAGTCAATAGAAAAATTGTCACTCTATGATTACAATGCTGAATTTTATTATTATAAATGAAGTCTTAACTATGGATGCAATGAGTCCATCATACATTTTGGTATAGAATGAAGAGCCTTGACAATTGATTTAGGTTTAGATTTGTAGTATGAATTTCATTGTAGCTCGAATTTATATAAATAGTTTTCAATTTAATCATTGTTATTGAAACGAAAACGTTTTATATTAATTATTTATGTTAAAAACCAAATCGAAATCTAATCTCAAGTCGAAATCAAATGATAAAAAAGTTTCGTGCTTTGGGTTTATTGCATTTCTAATTTTAACGAAACTTTTCGTTGTTTTCTTCGTCACGCAATGTTGCGCTCTACTTACATAACATCATTTAATTGCTTTGAATGCGTAAATGTACATATTATCAAAATATTCAAACCATAACTTTTGTTAAGTTCTTTCTCGTTCGATGAAATGTTTTTTTAAACAAATATTTTTCGAAAGATGTTTTGGTAATTGAAGGTTGTTTTTGCTGTTTTTCTCACTTTGATATATTCATTTTCTTACCATAAAATGTTAAGACAAGTAAAAATAAAACAAACAAATTACAAGATAATCTATCATAAACGATAAATATTAAAAAGATATTGAAATTTCATCGATGGATTCTTCAAAACTTTTTGGTTTGTTTTACATTATCATAGAGTTCTCTATGATTATCGAATAAATTATAGTAAAAAAAAAAGTCATCGAAAAAACCAATCCAATTTCTCTACATTTAATTATAGCTGATAAAAGAAGTATCAGTTTAATCAAATAGAAATTTATTTTTTGTACTAAGTCTTTTACATGACATTGGTCTATTTATATAATTATTAGTCAATAGTTTATCGTTTCATTTTGTCCACTAATAAGCTAATTACAATTTAAAAATATCCATTCTATTATGCTTTATTATAATATAAAACAGTGCGACTGTTGAAGTAACAGAGAAAGGTGTATGTTTCTCTTTCTTGCCTAGAGAACATTAAGTTTTGTGTTTTCTTTAATCAAACCTCAACAATAATTGATTCTGGCCAATTTTTTTAATGAATATTTTGCGAATGTGATATATTTTATTTATAAGAAAATTCTCTGAATAAGCATGATTTAGCAAAGTAACATATCTAGAAACGATCACTATCTGTACTGAACTACTAGTTTATAGATGTGTTATAATATATTTTGAGGTTGTTTACTATTTACCTATGATAATATAAAGACTATTTTAGTTAAAGCAGTTAACGTATCATGCATAGACACTGTAATTAATCTTCTGTACTAATATGAAGCATTGTTGTTTATAGCGATTGGATCTTACTGTCAGTAAAGGTAGACTTTTTCTTTTCAGGCAATTTTATCAGAGGGAATATTTTTTTGTTTTACTATTTATATAAATAAAAAGAAGAGTAACAAACAATAATTAACCCATGCATATCAATGAACTCAGTCATGTCTATAATCTATGTTCTTCTAGAAAGATAAACCCTGAATAAAATATTGTTTTAGTATTACATTAATTATAACTGTTGGTTTTTATTTGAATGAATTGTTCTTGATCGATAAACAATAAGTAACTCTGTTCGTAAGTTTTTTATCAAATGATGTTACTCTTTGGGAGTAAACGAATTACATATTTATGTAACTAATCGACTTTAAAAAATCTAATTTTTTATGAATTCTGTCATCGAATTGATTAGTATGAGTTTTTTAATACGATACTGATAATTCAAAATTTGAAAAACTTTTTTTTTGACATTTTTCTGTCATGTTTGAACAGAGCTCATCAAACTACCTATATTAGCATACCTTATCACTTATTTAGACGATATTTTTATTAGTGAAACTTGAAAAAAAAAACATTAGTTTAAAAAAATAGAAAAATTTATATCAAAACTAAAATACGCACAAAACATCAATTCTTTGCACTCTTGATATTGATCAAAATATGTTTGATTCACCTATCGTCTAATGAGGAAAAAATGACGCTAACCTTATGAAGTACATATTTTTATGGTTGAAAAACTTGATTTTATCGATAAGATAACAAGGCACGATAAATAGAGGTTCATATTCCGAGATATTCACTTTCCAAACTTGAACTCGAAATGAAACAAATATCATATTGCGAAATAACAGAAAAATCTTCATTGAATAATATACTCAATATAGAAAATTAATTTTTGTCCAATTTCGACCGTAAGGTAAATATAGGTGAGACAATTCAAAAATAACAGTGTGAGAATGTAACCACGAAAATTTTATTTTAAGTATTGAGTATACCATTCGTACAGGTTTTTGTATTGATATTCATTTCTTTTTGAGCTCAAATTCTTATAGTGAAATTCGCTGAATATAAACGCGTTTTTATCACGGTTGTTATATCTTATCGATACGATCGGCATTTTCAATCATTTCAAAAATATATAATGATGTCAAAAGCATGCATTATTTTTTTTTCTCAATTTATGATGAGTAAATCAAAAACATTCTAACAAATATCAAGAGTAACAAGACTTGATACTCTTAGTATATTTCAATATTTACAGACTTTTTCATTTGTTTTTAAACCGAATTTTCACAAATGTCACTAGAACAAAATCTATTTGAATATGAAAAAAAAAAGCCAATATTTCTATTGTTAATTCGACGAGTTCTATCCAGGCAGGTGTGACAAAGAAAAAAGCTAAAAACAAGATACTGTTCTGATTTCCAATAACAGTTAACGTTTCATAGAAGTATATGTAAGACAATGAAATGACATACAATTACTGGAAGTGTATATTGTTGTAGTTGCACCATAATATTTTTCATGTTATCATTCTTTATTCTCATATTGAGTTAATGGTTGCATACAGAACTAATATTTCTTCTAATATGTTAAACGCCTACGAATCAATGAAGCATGAATTCAGTAACAAGAAAAAAAACCTACCACCGTCCTTTAGACTAAACTTATTTATTCTTTTAAGTTGATATAATACATTTGTTTATCTTAAGAATTAACATGTCAAGATGATATTTATTCAATTCAATTGATATGAATTTTATGATGTAATTATGTTCTAACAGGTATGTTAGTGAAGAAGATTTAAAATTGCACATTTAATAGTTATTTTTACCTATGAATCATTTTTTCATAGGAAAGCGATATCACAGCTCGACAGAGAATCATTTTCTCTGTTTGTCCTAAGGAATAGAAAAAACATATTTTTCATGTAGAAAAGTACGTTTCTTTTCAATTAATATTGACTAATTTTTTTCATTTATAGTTAGTGTTTTTCTTTCTTACATATGTATGATCGAAGACTGATATGTTAATAATAGAAAATTATGGGTTTTAATTTGACTTAAATATAAGCATTGTCTTCATCGATCAATTCAGTTCATCAATGAGAACTTAAAATTGTTGTTATAATACAATCATAGTATATGTTCGTTGTTTGTAAATGTTTACAAAGAAAGAGCTTATCCTTCTATAATTTATGTTGACAAAGATGCCTTAAATATTTTAGTCATTTTTCTCATTATTCTTGAGTTTCTTTGTGCGTATGAAAGACTAAAAACTTCAATCTATGACTCATCTAAATTAACTTTAATAAATAACAATAATCATTTTCATTATTGAAGAGAATTTTTATTTTCTGTATTTATTAACTTCATTTGAAAAAGTTTATAATATATTACACAAAACTCGTCTCTTAAAATACAAATGACTTTTACTGAATTCTTTATCAAAATAATAATTGCTCCTCTATTGTTATGTAACAAGAACAAAAATCATCGTGGCGAAGATTTATTATACAAATTATGCATATAACAAGTTACTCTTCTAATTATTTCACTGAAAAATTCTTTATCTATCTGTATGACATATTTTATTTCACACTCAAAACACAGCACTATTTCAATTTTCTTATAGAATAATATATATAGTGAATTGAAGGAATAACCACGTTTTTTCGCGATGTATTTTCAAAAATTTTTTTTAAGCTACATATTGAGACATAATTTAAACTCAAAATAAAAAAATTTGAACGACACGAGACATTTATCTGAATAAAATAAAGTATATATTTAATGCATGAAGTGCTAGCTATATAAGAACGTTTCATCAATCAGTCTCGCTCAGAAAAAAAAACAATAAGTATTGAGTCATAACCTATTATTTGAATGTCCATATCTATATCATACGAAATGATTAATAAATGTTCTCTTTCATGAATCATGACATTTTAAGTGTCCAAAATTATTATTAAAAAAAAGATAATATACAATCAAACTACGATACTGAGAATAAGAATCACTTTTTAAAATAAAATCTGTTTTATTAATATCGATTGATATTTAAATTTTGTTTACAAAAGACAAGAATCATATGAAATTAATTATCAAAAAGATATAATGAGGAATATTGTTTAGGTGCTATTTGTCCTCCATGAATACCACGCCATTTGTTAATATCACTAAGAATTCCTGTCCAAAAACAAATAAAAATTGTGGCAATGAATATTAACCATTTAATAGATATTATTAATAGATCATTTATCAATAGTTTAGGATGACAAACAAATAGAATACTTAATTCGTTACAAATTAATGATGGACATGTACAAATAAATAATTTTAATAATATTCGATAAATTGATGTTCTATTTGATATACAACATCGATCAAGAACAACCATAGGAACAATTGTCCATATTAAATGAGCCATTACACAAAAAAATGGAAGAAGAATAGTATCAATTAAATCATCAACATTCTTATTATTCTTTAATATTGATTGATTAGTTCCATTGCTTTCTATAAAAAAAACAAGCATTAATTAATTAATATATTAATAAATAGAATATATTTACTTGAAATTTCAGTTTGATCATATCCATAAGCAATATTTTTGTAAAGAATATTAGAAAATACGCACAAATGAACAATAAAAGATATGAGCATTAACGAAAATATGATTATTGCAAAGAAACGTTCACGTTTACTGGCATAGTGTAATGATAAAACTTCTGTTTCCATTTCTTTTTTTCACAACTGTTATTGCATCAGCTGTATTCAAATTTATATTTTCGATAACAAACCAATTAGTCATACATTTACTTTTAGGCAATTATGAACAAGTATAATCGATATAATGATTAGAATTCTTTATTTTATTGTTTTCTCGAGATGATATAATTAGTTTTGTTATTATATATCCAATTAAAGATTCTCATGAATTGATCATTATTTCTTCTTAACTGTTTTATCACTTCATTCGTTTAAGAAATATTACTAATTTATTTCGAGAAAGAACTTCAAAATTCTAAAAAAAATATTTATTGAATATTTGTTTTTGTATCAGAAAAAAAAAGAAATGATTATTAAAACAAATCCCATGATTGCATTTAGTTCTTATCTTTCTTGTTATGACATAATATATTATTAAAAACAAACACAATATTCAAATCATTTCATAGTGATATATTTTCTATTGAAAAATTTTCAAAATACAATTGATGATCATCTAATAAGTGTAAACAATCTTTTATATAATTTCAATATCATAAATTCTGATGGATTAAATTTAATAAAAGTTCAATCTTTCAATGTTTATCTATTTCTATTTTATTTTAATGTTGTTACATAAAATAGGAATAATATCTGAAAATATTGAACAGTAATTTTTATTAGTTAACTTCATTTTTGATGAAAACTAATTTGATTTATAATGAAACTTGTTTCTAGATTAACACAAAGCAAGGTTTTATTTAACATTTTATAAACGTTAAATATTCTATGAAATATATAATAAATTATTGAATTTTAATGACAAAATTTATTAGAGAATCATTTAATATTAATCGATAGATAAAAATTCTCAACTGAAATCAATATTAAATTCTAATCAAGAAATAAACGATTCTTCAATTGTTAAATTTGTATAGATTAGCATTGAGTGATGATTGACGCTAAAATTTTGAGATTTACTGTAAAATAAAGTATTGTCTGTTTTCGAAGAATTAAAAATTGACTATCTATCAAACATAGTAATAAATCAAAATTCAAATTTTTTTAAAAAAAGTAACTATTTATGTGAAAATAAATAAATTGTGCAAGAATTTTTTCGAAGTTGTTTATCATTTAATATAATAGAATTTTAAATAAATGAACAATTAGTGGAATAAATAATCTTAATATTTGTATAATATATTCGTTAGAAAAGTCTGATATCATTTTCCATATCAATAACAAAAAAAAGATACTGAGCTTTATTTTATTTTGCCACCTCTATAGAATATGAATTCTTATCAATATTTTATTGATAAGTATTATAAGTTTTATGATTTTTTTATTTTATATATTGAAAATCAATAATGAAGGCTATGTATTTATGTTGAGTTTTATTAATGGAATAAAACCTAAGAATAAACAATATTAGAAGTATATTTTGTATTAGATACTTATTTCTTCAGAAATTTTATTCAAAATGAAATGAAATAGATTTGTTTTTTAAATTAATCATTTTTCAATATAAAAACTTTTGAAAGATTTCACACAAATAGAATAATTTCATAGTGTTGAATTTTGTCATCAAGTTATTCTAAATCTAATTCATTTAGTTTTTTAAATGCAAAACAAAATTTGAATAATCTGGTAAATAGTTTTTGTAATTATTTTATTTATAACGTTGTAATCATTAAAAGTGAGGAAAACATTTTATTTTCATATGAACAATTTCTATTAGAAGTCATAATGCTAATAATAACTATCATATATTGATTCCATACTGATTTATTTTGAGATATCATTTATTGATATAAATCTATCGGATTTTAGGGAAAAAGAGATTTATGGTCATAACAAAGATAATCGTTGATCATGTCGAGTAAAAAAATAACAGTGTTTTATTCAAGAAGGAAAAAGTCGATCCTACCACCTTCAAGAATGAGTTTATCAGAGTGTACTGAAGCTTATCAAACTTCTATTACAATCGATCAGAATTTAATAAAAAAATCGCTCAAATTACTATAGCCTATACTGAAAAGAGAAACCAATATGGATATAAATAGATATAGAACTTAAGATCTCTGAAGTCACTTTTTCTTGATTATCTAAATTTCTGAAAGTCTATTTCGTTTTTGTTGGATTAATTTCTTTGAATCCAAATGTTTTCTAATGAATTCTAAGATTATTGATATAAGAAAAGGATTTATTTTTGTTCTTCATTACCATTCAAAAAATAAATGAAAATAAAATGAAGAATTAGCTATTATTTTAGCTTGCTTAAATAGAAGCATTGTTCAGTAGATTTATTTTTTTTGCTATTCCCTTTCATAAGATATATTCGTCAGAAAGTATTGAAATATATACTTGTTCGGTAAGACTACAACGAAACACAAAAATTAACAAAAATAATGAAAAGAAAAAATAAAGTTTTAGTCAATATCTTTGTATCTAAAAGCAAGAGTTGGTTTTTGCATTTCATAATTAAAGCCAATTGTTGGTGTCATTTTGACAATTTCATTCAGAACACATTCAATAAATTCTGTTGTTGTTGCTGTACCACCAATATCAGGAGTTTTTATTTTATGTTCTTGAATTGTATTTAAAACAGCATTTTTTATAACTGAACAATGTTTATCCAATCTAAAACACAAAAAAGATTCTAAATTTGTTTTTTCTCATCGAGAAAAATTGGATTAATTTACCCTAAGTATTTAAGCATATTGGCAGCAGCAAAAAGAATACCAGATGGATTTGCAATATTTTTTCCAGCAATACCTAAACCTGTATTTCTTGTACCTTGTTCAAAAATTGCATAATGATCTCCATAATTTGAACCAGCAACAAAACCTGAACCACCAACAAGACCAGCACATACATTTGATATTATATTTCCATATAAATTTGGCATAACCATAACATCAAATTGTGTTGGACGATTAACTAATTGCATACATGTGTTATCAACAATCATTGTATCAAATTTAATATTTGGATATTCAGCAGATATTTCACGACAACAATCAACAAATAAACCATCACTTAGTTTCCTATTTTAGAACAAAATACAAAAAAAAAACAAACAATAATAATGAATTATTTGATAAAACTAATTAGATTTGATTTACATTATATTTGCTTTATGAACAGCTGTTACTTTTTTTCTATTAGCATGTGTTGCAATTTCAAATGCAAAACGAGCAATTTTAAGAGATTTTGCTCGTGTTATAACTAAAAAAGAAAATTAAAGAAAAAATGAAGTTTATAGATAAAATAAATATTAAAACATACCTTTAAGACTTTCAACAACACCGGGAACTGACTTGAAAAAGAGAATAAATCAAGTTTAAATAGAATTAGAATTTTTTCAAAGAAAATTCTGTATAACTACCTCGTGTTCAAGTGAACTATATTCACCTTCCGTATTCTCGCGAATAACAAGTATATCGATGTCTGAATGGCGTGTTGGTACAACAGGACTTGTTTTACAACGAACCACATTAGCAAATAAATTAAGACGAGTACTAAAATATATTAATTCTAGTACTGTCTATAATAATAAATTCAAAAAAAAGATAAAGATTACCGTAGAAGAACATTAAGTGAATTTGTTGTATTTTGTGATGCAATATTACCTATTAAAGTTTAATATATATATAAATAATTAGGAATATAATATTTGGTCAATAAAATAAATGAAACGGTCAGTTTATTATTTATAAGCGGCAGTAGAAAAATAATTTATATTAATAAAAAAAAAAAAAGAGAAATTTAGTCAGTAAAAAATATATTTATGATCAGTAGAAAAACATCTTTTGTCAGTATAAAGTATACTTTAGCACAAGAAATAAAAATGTCTAGAAAGAACCATAGAAACATTGAGTAAAAAATCTATCAATTAGTACTAATCAAGGGAATGAACATTAAATTATTGTACTAATAGAGACGGTTTAACTTTTACTGATCGACCATGTTTTCTCTTTTCACTAATTGGAATTGTCTTTGCTGCTGATGGTGATTTGCAATATTGTAACCGTATATCCCTACACTGACAACGTGCTTACATATATAGTTTTTAAGAAACGCTGAACAGTTGTTACATTTCGATGTTTTCCAATGTGAATCATTGTCCATTTCTACATACCAAATATCAAATGATTTCTTGAATTGATTGAAAGTTCTAAATTTTTGTTGTTGCTTCTTTAATTCAAAATTTGTTTGTCTTTTTTTTATGAACTCCTTTATTTTCATTTTTTGTACAGTCTTTGTTCAATAATTTCTTCATCCGATGATGTATCGCTCTTATATTGAGAGACTTTTATTGCCTGCATCTGTAAATCTATTATTTGGTTCGCTTGATAATGATCGTTTATTATAAAAATTCGTGAATGTATATAGGTATTAGATATCTCCCTGGATGTGATAATATCGGATCGTGTTCTGAAAAACCAACAGAGGGAAAATTCAATCACTGAATAAAACGACGAAAAATTTCAAACAGAGAAGAAACATGTTTGTTTTTGACAGATGTCAAAGTTACAGAACTAAAGAAGAAAATATATACCACGTATCATCTGCTGATATAGTAAAAGAGAAGAAAAACAATTGAGGTGAACGATACTATGACACATTTTTATTTCTACACTTTCCTTTTAATTTAATTTACTGGTAATAAATTTTATTCACTGATCAATCATTAATTTTCTGACCATTCATTAAATTTACTGATTTTTCGAATTTTTTTTCATTTATTGAACATTTCATTTATTCTACTGACCACTTAAATGATAGCCTAAATAATTCTGTTTCGAAAGAACTAACCTTTGAGAGCTACTCCATTACGTTTAACAGCCATAACAGCTCTCTCAAACATTTCATCACTAGCTATATGACTTGACAATGGAATATCCTCAAAATCAATGGGTGCACGAACACATCTAAATTACTAATTTAATCATAAAATAAATTAAAAGAATTAATTTTTTTTACCGCATAGCAGCTTTAACATGTGCCATAAGTTCGGGTCCTACACCATCTCCATGTATTAATGTTACTGTATATTTACCACCGTAAGCTGTTCGCCAAGGTGTATCTAACTAAAACTCATACATAAACATATATCGCGACGAGATTTAAAATGCATACATTATTAGTCAAAGATCGTTGAAGTGGTACAAACGATGACAACACACGACGAGTATTGGTTTTTAGAATAGACTGCATTTTTTATTTGAAAACCTAAATACGCTATTTTTTTTTCACATAATTTTCAAAGCCAAAAAGAAAATGAAAGAACAATAACAAACAAATAAATCGGCAACGAATGAAAATCAATCATTCATTCTCTCGTTTTTTATTGGCCAGTAACAGACGTCTTCTTTAGAAAATGGCACAGATATCGCAGATTTACAACTAGAAAAACGTCAGTATTCATTACGATAAGTTATATGACTATTTAAAAAAAGAAAGAATTTTTTTCAGATCAATTAATCACGATAAGGTTTTCAATTTAAATATAAGTTAAGTAAAAGTTAGCATTGATCTGGTGATAAATATATTTTAGTATGCGAAATGTTTCACTATGATTTAATCACTAAAAGGAAAATTAATTATATTCATCTAACATTTAAGCTTCCTAGATTGGTAGTAATGAGAAAATCAAAGTACCTAGTTTAGCCAGATTTTTGGTAGGTCAAAATAAAATTTACAAATTTCCATAGCCAAAACCCGAATCCTAAATTATTTTATTTTCAGCTACCGAAAATCTGCGGATATCATTTGATAGAGCACATCGAGCTGTAGTTGGAACACGTTGTCATGATCGATGGTAGCCATAGTCATTTACAAAAAGATAAGTTTCGTTCGTATTTACAGCATAAATTTTCTAGCTGTGCAAAACAAAGTCTCAATATTATCATTGAAGTCTATAACATCAATAATATAATTAAAATCTCACAAAGTGGATGTTATCGTCTCCCTTTTCGAATGTACCACATTCGTTTTTTTTATCAGTAAATAATTAGTGTTGAATAGAGTCCATATTTGTCGATTACTGTCGTGAAATAAGAAATATAACATTTGTCTTCTTTTGATACAGATACATTTCAGGATAAATTTTGTTGATTACTTCTGAATCCTTGACGATTTTCAGCAACTACAATTTTATATCATTCAATGAGTCCCTTATATGATAAGGCTGAATACGATGGTTGTAAGAATCGAATGAGTAAAGATACAATAGTTTATTGCATCCTGTAAGAAGATATTACAATGTCTATTGATTACATGTTACTTTCATCGTCATTCATGTTATGCTATTAATAAATTACAATATTCACGTACAACAACTATAAATAACATAAAGAATAGTGCGATGAGAGAAAAGGAACACTAAAAGTATATGAATATAAGCAGAATAATGAGAACAATTTAAAATCGGTCAGAATATATTGAATACATAAACAAATAAAACTCTTTCAATCAGAAAAAAAAATCACTATATTCACGTATATATACGTATGAAACTTAAAAGTCTGTTATACGAGTTTGAAACGCCATACTCTATTATAATTCATTTCACTTACAAATAGATTAGTATCATTAATGCTTAATCTAATGTCCATAGCTCCGAATAATGATGTTGAGTAATTACTGGTTAATGCACCATTACCTGCTATAGTTACTCCACTTGTTGCTCCAGAACTCCAGCGTTGTACACGGTTGTTGCCTGAATCGGCAATGTAAATGGCATTAGTTATTTTCGACACGCATACAGAATATGGTAAATATAACTGCTGACTTCCTGATCCAATTCCATTTCCTCCGGCGACAGTGGTACCATTCGTTGACACACCCACAGTATAACGTTGAATTCGATGATTATTATAATCAGCAACATAAAGATATGATTTAACATCATCAAAATAGACACCATAAGGCATATTGAGCTGATAACTGCTACTTCCTGACACTCCAGTACCTGCTACATTGACAGCATTAGTGACATTTGGTGCAAATTTCATTACACGATGATTATTACAATCACAAAGATAAATATTTCCTTGTAAATCAACAAATAAACCAGCTATAGTAGAAAAACTATTAAGTGTACTTCCAGAAACTCCGCTTCCTGCAACTTTTACACCCATTGATGAATTTCTTTGCCAAAACATTATTCGAAAGTTATTACTATCAGCGACGTAGATATTTAATGATGCATCGACATGTAAACCTGTTGGTCCATTCAATTGATTGGCACTGTTACCTGATATTCCAGTACCAGCAACGATGGAACCCACTGAAGATCCTTCTGATAATTTAATTACTCTATTATTGCCATAATCAGCAATGTAAAGTGAATTGTCAACTCCTACTGCTAATCCTGTAGGAAAGTGAAGAGCACTAAGAGAACTTCCTCCCGTACCATTACCATAGCCAGCAACAGTAGTTGCAGTCTGCATTGATGCCACTGTAAAATAAAAAGAAACAGTTATAAATTATATTATTTTGATTCTGTTAGTAAAATGAAAGCATATCGATTATATTTTAACAACTACGAGCGTCCTTTATTGAAGATAATATAGATAAATTTATAGGATACTCTACTTTTCTGAGAATAGATATAGCACTGAACGACTTTGATTTTTATTGAAAACTAGTCTCACAAATATGATTAAATTTTTGTTTACTATCATTAATAATATCAATAGTTTACTAATTATAGTTTCTCATTGGAATTAACAATACTTACGGCCACATTGTTGACGCGGTAAACATGTATAATTTAGATCTAGACGACATTCTGCATTAATAATACAATTAGCTCCAAGTAATTTTTGAATTTGACAAATAGATCCATCAAAATATGTATGTGCGTGACATTGACAAGTACCATTCACACATGTCAAATATCGACTTTTTTGACAAAATGAACATGATTGTCCTCGGCTAGCAAATTGTTCTGGATACAATTTGATTGATCCGACGCGAGATGAAGAAGATGAAGAAGCAACAATTGAACCGCTATTAGTTATATCACCTTCAAAGATACGACAACGATGTGATTGATGATCAAAATCGAAAATGTAACAAAATGTTGTTGAATGACATATTTGAAAACAAGAAATCAATGATTGAGCAATGGTGTCGAACAACAAAAGAGTTTCGTGGTCAATAGAAGAGAATTCGAAACCTTTGCTGGACATATTCGCTGATGATTGCCAACCAACAGAAATACTTTGAAGATGAGATAATCTCAAAATGCATCCGATCAACATAAGAGAACTGAAGAGAAAATTGGATATGATTATCTGCATTCTAAAGAAAAGTAAGGATAAACTGATATGATGTTTCCAATTTAAAAATGAGAAATTATATGCATTGTCCCATTGAACAATGTTGTCAATTCAGAGAGAAACGATCACTCTCGTATATACAAAATCTTCAACATCATTCATTCCTTTTTTGAAAAAAACATTGTAACATACCACTAAGCAAACGTTTCTTTATCTCAGCTTATATAAAAAGAGCTGCTTACAGAGTTTTCACTCGAATGAAATGACTTCGATAGTGATTAGTAGCTCAATTAGTCGAAATGAATCTTTCATATTTCAAGACAAAAGTGACTAGATGTCCTATGCTTTCTATTGCGAACGATTTTAGATGAAAAGAAGTATCTATTCAAACTGACCTCAATATTTGAATATAGTATATGCTGTTCGGTCGCTTGCTAAGGAACTAAATTGGCCCTAATTAATATCAAGCTATTGAGTGTGCAGACAGTATTTCTTATTTATTAATATAGTACTTTAACTTAAATTTCATACGTGTTTTTTCTAAATGGTTATACAAACTGCTTGATTGTAATTGATGTAGCGATACTAAAAAGCTTTCAAAAATGAAAAATAGTTTTTCAAAAAAAAAAACTATAATGAATGCTTTTAGTAATAAGCATCCTTCTTATCGACGAGCTGTCATCTCTTAACTACTATTTTGCTCTTCTATAGTTATTCTATACCTAAAAAAAATATTAAAACAGAAAATAAAGAAAAGAAAAAAATTATTTTCCTACAACTTTTCTTATCTTTTGCTATGTATCTTAAAAAATGTGCAATTTAATATAAGTCTTAACAGAAATCTAAATATTTATATTTGAAATTAATGTTGATTTGATATCAATGAATGAATTTCATTCTTTGTAATTACATTTGTTTTTCTATGAAAAAAAATGTATCTATTGTTTCTTACTTTATAGTCATTATCATTGTCTCAACACTCTAAAACTAAGATGTCATCTCTGACTTCATTTTTGTACTCCATCATGTGTTTAACGCATATGGAGTTTATATTTTCTTCAAAGAACTCACATTCTCACTGTAGTACTCTATTTCAGATATGCATTTATTGAAAAACTTCAAAACAAAAATTATCAGACACTTATTGCTCTTTTTATGAATAATAAAAAATAAAACGAGAAAAAAAAACCGTCTTGAAAGATCTTCCAATTTGTAGGTAAAAAATAAAATGTCGTTTCACCTTAAGTTAATGAAATATGGTATGATAAAAATTAGATTTGGTGCTAATTCAAAGAATAATGTTCTAAATTGTTGTTGTCAAATGCTTTATCATAAACAATGGGAGAAATATCTTTTTATGGCAACATTTTTTATCAAGTCATAGTTACCGTTAAAAGAATGAAGAAAATTTTATTTAGTTTTCTTTTAATTTATTTGGTAGAAAAAAAAAATTGAAATACTAATTTGAAAAAAATTCTATCAAATCAAGGTGCGAACAAATCCAGGATAAACATAAGTGTAACATCTAGATAGAAAAAAAGTTCAAAACAAAAATCACTAGAGTTCATTAAGGTTTTAGAGTGTTGAATGTAGGTGTGAGTTCTCGCTTCACTAACACTCAAATTTAGATTCAAATTCACGCATTCTCATTCTGTAGTTGTAATTTGTTCAAGATTTTAATTTTCCCAGTAACATTCACACAGATAAAAAGAAACAGATCTTTTATTTATTTTAATTCGGAACAAATATTCTCAAAGATAAAACATTTATTAGTACTTTCATAGCTATTTTGTAATGATTGAGCATATTGGACTTTATAGTTATAATGGAAAATATCTGGCTGACATATCAATCTTCGGGAGCATAGATTATTGTTTGAATGTTGTTATTTTCTCTTGAACAATCAAAATATATATTTTGATTTACTAATTTGGATAAGTTTTCCCAAAAATCTACTTGGATACAAACGTAGATTTTACGCTAGAATTCACTAATGAAATTTCACACATCAACATGATATATGTGCAACAAGAATATATTCATTAATTTGTGAGTCGTTTTTTTTTATTTTCACACTAGCATTAATTTCATTTACAAGCGAAATTTTAACAAGTTCAACAATAGTGTCTATAAAATCTTGAGTGCAACTACTCTACGAGTCAACTAGTAAAGCTTCGAACTCTATTAAACCTTGATAAGATGTGTTTTCTTCGTAAACTTCTGATAAGTCTTTCGAATATGAGCGAAGACAAGTTGAGTGACTACTAGTGATAGTACTGATATAAAAAAGTCTAGCTTAATATTATTAAACTTACTAATCAATATTATTCTTAGTCATATAAGAAAATCGTTTGTAAGCAAACAACTGTAATAATCAATGTCTTCACCCTCAAATTCATCTGATTAACTAGTAGTGTTTCCATAATGTATAAGTCACTGTTATCGATGATAGTTGACTTGTAGATAGCTTAGTTTGACAATAAATATGGATCAAATGGTAATCATAGTAGCTAATATCTCTATTGAAACTTTTGATTAACTCTTTTTCAGTGAAAAGTGTGTGTCCTAATTAATATAGAGTGATAGTCATTCTAATAAAGTATTAAATAAATCCATACACGTATGATGAAGATTCTGCGAAATAGAAAAGATAACACAGTATTTATGTTTAACAAAAGATTTGAAAATTTGTTCTTTAAAAAAAAAAAATAAAGTTTTTCTAAATCATTATGTTGATAAATATATTTATACATATAAATATCGGCGCTAATTTTGCAATGCTAATTATATCTTTTCTTTTTGTTTTGTTAATATAATGTCATTTTTAGCTAAAATCGATGCTCAAATGAATTATATTTTATTACTTATTAGACAAATAACGAAATCTTCTAAGAAAAAAATTCATAAATTATCTATCAAAGAATCTCTTTCGATTTTTACAGAAAATCATAAAAATGAAAATGTTATTTTATCTTTATCAACATCGAAAAATAATAATCAGAAAAAAAATCTATCAAATAACTCTCATTTAACATTGGAAGATAATCAAAGTGATTTAATAACATTTGAAAATTTTCCTTTTAGTCATATATGCAATCGTGATGTAGATAATATTTATTTATTTATTTATATTGAATAAGACAATTTTTTTTATTTAGATACGTCATTTACCGTTATTAAAACGAAACGATATTGATTTAGATCGTCTTCGTTCATGTTATATATTAACAATGACTGATTTAATCGGTCGTTATTTGATTCATAAAACACCTGAGGAATTTCGATATTTTTTAATTGAAAAAGTAAAATGTAGTCAATCATTTACAGATGAAATTATGCAATTGCTATATATATGGACACTACATAATTTACAAATTGGAAGAGGAACACGAACAACAACACTTAAACAATATTTGTAAATGGTTCTTTTCAAGACTATTTACGTTTCGATTTAATTTTTCATTTATCATAAAATCTTAAAAGTTAACTTCGTTTATTCACAACTTTTGAGTTTATTTGTAATGAATTTAAACATATTCTATCAATTCAGTTCATTTATTTTAGAAAATCTGAATGTCGTAACTAATCTATAAATTTCATTGTATCATAGATATATAATTCAAAATCTATTGATATTTAAATTTCTTTAAATTTCTATAAAGCTAGGTGTCGCAAATAAACTAGGATACCATAGTGTTTTTCTTACTTAAAATATCTTATTTATTACTTAATATAAAAATGTTAAACTTTTTTAAAATATAATAAAATAATATGAATTATAAATATAATTATAGGATTGGTTTAATATTCATTCAATTATCATTTTACAAAAGTTCTCTGTTCATATAATTGCACCATTAGATGTAATACTTTATTCAGTTTTAACAAATAAATTTTATCATAAAATTAAAACGAAATAATGGATGAATCTGGATTTCAAGCCGAATATGCTAAATCAGATCGATCAACATGTAAAGGATGTTACTCAACCATAGCCAAAGATACACTTCGACTTGCTATTATGGTTCAATCACCAAGTTTTGATGGAAAAGTCTCACATTTGAATATTCTTTTATATGAAAAAAAAGAAAAATACATAATTTATTATTTAGATTCCAACTTGGTATCATATGGGATGTTTTTTTAAAAAAGTCAAACCAGCTGATCCACAAATAATAAAAGGTTTTGATAATCTTCGTTGGGATGATCAAGAAAAAATTCGTAAAAAAATTGATGGAACATCAAAAAATGAATCAAGTAAATAAATATTCAAAAAACAAAAAAAACAAAAACTCCTTCTTCCTTATAGATGATAAATCAGGTGAAACAGAAAGTGATTCAAAAAATTTCAATGCTGAATATGCTCGATCAAATCGAAGTACATGTCATGGTTGTAACATTAGAATTGAAAAAGATCTTGTTCGTTTATCAAAAAAAGTTTCAACAAATCATCATCATTCATTAACTGATCAATGGTATCATATTGATTGTTTTAAAGAACATAAAGATGAATTACAATTTAATGGAACTGCTGAAACGTTTGTTACTTTTTTTGTTTTTTGAAAAAATTTTCTTTCTATTTTATTTTTATATATTTTAGATTTTTGGGTTTTAATGAACTTAATAAAGAAGATCAAACTGAATTGAAAAAAAAATTTGGTTCATTAACTACTAATAGAAAACGTAAAGGTGATAAAATAGAAAATTCAATAAATGAAAATAGTGATGTAACAAAAGCAAAACAATCAAAAACAGAAATTAATAATGATTTGACATCTGTTGAAGATGAAAAACGACAAAGAAAAGTATTTTGTTTTTTTTTTCAAATTTTTATTTTTTTTTCTTTGTTTATAAAGGAACAAAGTGAATTACTTTGGAAATATAAAGATGCTTTAAGAAGAGAAGTACCAAATGATGTTTTAAAAGAATTACTTGAACATAATCAACAAAAACTTGTTACTGGAGAATCAAATGTAATGTTAATTTTTGTTTTTAATATTTAATTTATTTTGCAAATTTTTAGTTAATTGAAACAGTTGCAGATTGTATGGCATTTGGTGCATTAGAACATTGTTCTGAATGTGGAGGATTTCTTATTTTTAAGTAAAAAATTTTAAAATATCTTTTATGAATATATTTTAATTTTTTCTATATTCTAGTCATCATTGTTATCGTTGTACAGGTGATGTTACAGAATGGACAAAATGTACTTATACAACAAGAACACCAACGAGAAAACCATTTAATATACCTGATGATATTAAAACAGAATATGAAGCTTTGTAAATATTTTTTTTCTTCATATTGAAATTTTGTTTGTCTTTTTCTTTCTTTAGTAAAACATATAAATATAAAAAACGTGATCGAATTTTAGCACCAGTTATCGAAAAACAAATGACGATTCCTAAAACATCTGAAGTTCCACCAATTATTCAAGAGTAAGTTTCGGTTTTTTTTTGTTCTTATTAATTAGAATAGAATTTTAAAATTTTAATTCATTTAAAGTGTTTTAAAATAATTTTCTATCAAAAAAATGTTTGTCTTTCTTAATGAAATTTATGATCTCTCTAATGCTCATTTACTTTTTGTTTTATCATAAAGGAAAAGAAAAATTTTTCGTTCGAAATAAATTTCTTAAAAACTTGATCAATGAAGAATTCATATTTCATTGAATTATTATTTCAATAACTTAACATTGTTATCAAAGATAACAAATTGCACTTTGTATTCTTTATTTTATTTAAGATTTTTCTATTGAAAATCAGCTTGAAATTGTACTTATAATCATTTCTCAAGATAATAACTATGAACTAGAGGAATGAATATGGATCTCCGGAAAGATATAAATATCTCTTCACTCCTTCATTGAACATTAAAAACGAGAATATTCGAAACATACTAATTTATATCAAATCCATGAGACGAACAGTATATATGATTATTATATCTTACAGAATCCATTCTTAAATATTAGAAGTTAGAAAAGTACATTTAGATAATGAAAATGATTGCTATGGAGGAATGAAAAATCGAAGTAAGGCATTTTTATCGATATCTTTAAGGCAAATACCGATAACTCTTTTTTTTTACGTAATATAATGCTTGTGTAAATTCTTAATAATCATTTTAGACCAACATATGATTCAAGTTTACCACTTTCTGGTTATGTTATATCATCAGCTGGTCGTTTATCAAGTTCTATTGCAACTATTCAAAAAGAAGTTGAACGATTAGGTGGAACATATTCATCAAAAATTGATGAAAATGTTGGAATTGTTATTAGTTCAAAAGGTAATTTTTACATTGATTTATTTTTGTTTTTAATTTATTTTTTTTTAATAAAAAGATGAAATTCAAAAAAAGAGTAAAAAACTTCAAGATGCTGAAAAATTAAATATTCACATTGTCTCAGAAGAATTTATAAATGAAATAAAAAATGATCGTCCATCAATAATAATGGAAAAATGTAAAATTTCAACATGGGGAATATTACCACATGTTCGAAAACAAACTAAAGTAGATGAAGAAGCTAAAATTAAATCTGGACAACAAACATCAAACAAATCTGATTGTAAATTTTTAATCAAACAAATCAATGGAAAGATTTTCTATTCTATTTTTTTCATTTTTTAAGCTCGATTAAAAAAATCTGTACCAGATAAAGTTCAATTGAAATTAAAAGATGGAATTGCTGTTGATCCTGATTCAGGTTTTATATTTTTTGAAAAATATGCATAATCAAACAAAAAAAAAAAATTTATTTTTCTTTAAAAAGGACTTGAAGATACTTGTCATGTTCTTAAAGATACTGAAACTGGTGATATATATACTGCTGTTCTTGGTCTTGTTGATATAATACGTGGAACTAATTCTTTTTATAAAATGCAATTACTCGAATCTGATAATGGTCGACAATGGTTTGTCTTTCGAGCATGATAAGTTTATTTTTTTTTCTTATTTTATTTTCTTCTAATTATATTTTATTTTTTTTTACGGGTCGAACAGGTACAGAATATCGTGGAGATAAAGTTGATGAATATAGTCGACGAAAAGATGCCATAGATGCATATCATGCATTATTTCTTGATAAAACAGGTAATCAATGGTTAGATAGAAAAAATTTTCAAAAATTACCAAATAAACATTATCCACTTGAAATTGATTATGGACAACATGCTGATAGTGATCAAATGAAAAAAATACTTGAAAGTGCAAATTTAAATATTCATTCAAAATTATCAAATTCAGTTCAAGAACTTATTAAAATGATATTTAATGTTGAAAATATGCAACAAGCATTATTATCATTTGATATTGATTTAAATAAAATGCCATTAGGAAAATTATCAAAAAATCAATTAGATAAAGCATATCAAATTTTAACAGAATTACAAACATTAATTACTAGTGGAATTACAACATCAAAAACAGCTATTATTGATGCAAGTAATCGATTTTATACTTGTAAGTATTCATATATAGGATTTAATCAATTTTTGGAGTTTTTCTTTTTTTGAATTCATTCGTAAGTGACAGAATTGAATCTAAGACAAATATCATCTTAACGTATGAATTTTAAACAATTGATTATAACTTTTATTTGATTTTTGATCAAAAAAAATTTAAATATTGAGTTTTCTATATGATAAAATAAATTCTATAGAAAAATTAGTATTATGCGTGCTAACAAAATGAATGCTACTAATGATTATAGACAACAGGAATATAACGAATTCAAATAAATCGTTTACTTCGAAAACAAGTCATTTAGTTTAAATAATATCAATCAAATACTATTAGAAGTTTATAGATTTCGGATATTTTTAAGCTTTTGTTTCTTTTTGAGATATTAAAAATTGTCTCTTTGCAGTTAATTTTACTTTCTTTTATTAATTAAATCAAGTCGAAAAAAGAATCTCAATATACAAATTTAATAGATATCTAATAGAAACATCATATAATATAGAAATGTTGTTTATGAACTAAAAACTATTAATCTTATTAATTTAAATTTAATTTTAGTAATTCCACATGCTTGTGGTCTTGGTTCATTACCATTACTTGATAATGTTGAATTAATAAAAACTAAAACTGAAATGATTGATAATTTACGTGAAATTGAAATAGCTTATTCAATGTTAGATCAATCAAATAATACAATAGATAGTAGTGAACATCCAATAGATGTACATTATAAAAAATTAAAATGTGATCTTGAACCAGTTGATCATAATTCAGATGAATTTAAACTTATTGAACAATATATGATTAAAACTCATGCTAAAACTCATGATCAATATACATTAAAATTACGTGAATTATTTAAAACAAAACGTGATGGAGAATTTGATAGATTTAAAAAATTTCAAAAACTTGATAATCATCAATTATTATGGCATGGTTCACGAACAACTAATTTTGCTGGTATTCTTAGTCAAGGTTTACGTATTGCACCACCTGAAGCACCTGTGGTAAGTTTAATAACTTGTTTTTTCTTTTTCTAATTAATTTTAATAATAATTATATTTTAGACTGGTTATATGTTTGGTAAAGGTGTTTATTTTGCTGATATGGTTTCAAAAAGTGGTAAGTTTAGTTTCTTTTTTGATTTATTTAAAATTTAATCTAAAATAAATAATTTAGCAAATTATTGTTGGACATCAAAAACATCTCCTGAAGGATTAATGCTTTTATGTGAAGTTGCACTTGGTAAAATGTATGAATGTTATAAAGCAACGAGTTTATCTGCATCAACTTTACCTAATGGTACTCATTCAACAAAAGGTTGTGGATCAACTATGCCAGATCCAAAAGGTTAAATTTAAAAAAAATATCTTAAATTAAATTTTTTTTTGTTTCTTCTTTTTATTAAATAGAATATTATCATACAAATGATGGTGTACTTATTCCAATGGGTCATGGAGTTTCATCAAATGTTCGACAAACTTCTTTAATGTATAATGAATATATTGTCTATGATACTGATCAAATTAATATGAAATATCTTTTGCGTCTTGATTTTCAATACAAATATTAATAAATAATTTCTTTTATTTTTCTCTAAGTTCTTTAAAAATACTAAACTCTTTATTTTTCTTATTGTTTGTGTTATGATAAAAAAAGAAAATCAGAGAAAAACAAAAAAAAATGTCACTATGAAAGAAAATCTATTCTTTTCTTTTGATTTATTTTTTACTATATTATTTTCTTTATTGTTGAATCATTGGTGAGAATTTATCTTTTGAATAAAACGATGAAAATGAATAATTACTTAGTTTTTTATCTTTTGGTTTTACAATCAACATCATTTCATGTGCTTTCGTCAATCATGTTATTAACAATAAACTTCAATTAAATCTATTGGAAAATAAATCCATCGATTTGATTTATATATCTTAAGTCATTCATAGAAATATTTTTTTTTCTATGTCAAGACAAAATCAGTAGCCTGATATATTGAAGCCTTTTTATGATTTTAAGAAATCTTAAAAGTTCGAATCGTAGATTAAAAGTGTTAACGACGTTCAATTAAACATAGGCAAAGTTAAATATGTCTAGTATTGGCCAAACCTAAATTAAAACGTGATTAGTAATAATTTATATGAGCCATTGATCTTAAACTTAACAGAACTAATTGTATAGTTTTTCTGTTGTTGATGAAATAATTGTTTATCGATAATTCTGAATGATCAGATTAATTATTTGCTAGAAAATACATTGTCTCTCAGTGTATGGTTTTTTCATCTCAAAATTTCTGCCATTACAAACTTAATTCATTAGTTTGTTTTAATTTCGAGAGATTTTGAAATACAAACGGAAGAACCTAGTGGTAAAAAACGTAATGACAAGCAACTAGAAAAGAACATACCTGAAAACTGGTGATAAATGTTGACAATTTTCAAAGATCTATTTTTCTGTTTCTCTAATGATAACCTCAATTTTCAGCAAATGCTTATGGAAATAGCGGCTAACTTATTATCACATTTGTAGTTGAGATATCTTCAAAGTTTGGTGACAATCGTTGACGTTTCAACTGGCACCTCTATTTGTTGCAATATCGTTTTTGAAAAAATTTTATTTTCGTCAAATTAACAAATCTTAGTTCGATAGATATTTTATGGAAAATCGTGACAAATATGAAAAAACTACTCTAAAACTAAATCTAGAAAATATACACTCATTCACATTTTTTAACAGAAATAATGTAATATCGAGCATTGAAAACAAATAAATTTATATTTTATTATTATTGCATGAAGATAAAAATATCTATTTAAGTTTTAATAAAATTTAAATGAAACACTATTTCATTTTGTATAAATGTGCAGTTAGAATACATCATCACATTCAATTAAACTATCATGAACATCAATCAGGATAAAGACACGACTTATCACTTTAGTAAGATGCTTATTAAAAGTATGATATTCGTCTGAAATTCATTTTATTTTCTATGGTATATTTTGAATCTTTTCTTGGTCAAATAAAATGTTCTGTAAGATATCATTGGATAAATAAATTTAACCAATAAAATCTCTATGACCCATATAGAGGTTTGTTTTTCTTCTTGTTCTATTCGATATGAAGATCACATTATTATTATTATTTTTTATTTTTATTTCGTAATTTTTGTTTTAGTAAACTAAAATATTGTATATTTAGATCATCATCATGCCTAAATCTAAACGATTACAACGTATAACAATATCAAAATCATCAAAAAAATTAAAAACAAATCGTGGTCTTGAATTAAAACAAGAATTAGTTAAAAAAATTCGTTCACGTCTTGATCAATGTTCACATTTATTTGTTGTTCGTCTTTATAATGAACGTACAGAAAAATTACAAACAGTTCGTGCACATTTTCCACCATCTGAATCATCATATTTTTTCTTTGGAAAAAATCGTGTTATGCAACTTGCTTTAGGACGAACACCTGCAACTGAATATTTACCATCATTATCAAAAATATCTCCTTATCTTGTTGGAAAAGTTGGTTTAATGTTAACAAATCGATCACCACAAGAAGTTTTAGAATATTTTAATCAATTAGAAATGGAAGATTATGCAAGAGCAGGAAATCATGTTAAAGAAACTGTAACTATTGATGAAGGATCATTAGATGGTTTTCAACATACAATGGAACCATTATTAAGATCATTAGGTTTAATGACAACTTTAAAAAAAGGTATTATTCATTTACTTAAACCATTTATTATTTGTTCAAAAGGTGATGTTTTAACACCTGAACAAGCTAAATTATTAAAATTATTTCAACGTCCTTTAGCACAATTTAAAATAAAAGTTAAAGTTCATTGGAATAAACAAAATGAACAAGTTCAAGTTTTTGATTTACATGATGAAGATGAAGATGATGATGATGATCAACAAGCAGAAGAAATGATTGAACAAGATGATGAAAATTAATTTTTTCTTTTCTTTTTGTTCCTTTGTTATTTCAAACGAATCTATTAAAATCTTCTGCTAAAAACCATCATAATGATGGTTTTGTACTGTTTTGAAATATTCATTTTTTTTAAAAATCAATCATTTATTTTTAAACAAAATTTTTCATCAAAAAGGATCATTTAAGTAAAAAAAAAATCTCAGACATATTTATGACAAAAGAAACCTTTCATCAGCAAGCTAAAACAAAATTTAAAATATTAGCTATTTATGATATGCGCTCACTGACATTCTCAACTGCCAAAGTATTTATGGGACATGAAATAGGTTCCCAATTTAGATTTTCACTAGAATTTCTATTTCATTTTACGTCATTATTGAATTACAACAAAAAAAAACGATCTTTACAGCATGAAAAAAACTTCTGAGAGACGGTCCACGATACCACTGGTTTCAAATATATGGGCAAGTTGAGTCTAAATTTTGATATGTGAAAAATTCTTTGTTTACATTTGAAAAGTAATTTTTTCTTGTTATAACCTCGATCGACTCGTTCCATACAAGAACTAAGATATATAATATAAAATAAATCAGGATAAAATTTTCGAATTAGAATATCGCCATCAGTGCATATCATCGACAGTTCACATTTTAAACTTGTCAACATACTGAACAATCTTTCATTTACAGAACAATGCCTGTGATTGTTGGAAAATAATCTAGTTAGATAACAGATACCATTTATATTCAGATGGTGAAAAATTATGTATAAACAATTGTCGAAATTTCTTATAAGTATTAGTTAACTGAATTTTATTGCTTGTCAGATTTTTCTTTCGAATATGATAAAATTTCTATGAAATACAAAAGTTAAAGTAAATTCATAAAGGTTTTAACAATGAGTTCTATCTATTACTTTGGAAAATAAGTTTTGAACATTTTTTTCGTTTATCAAAATATTTTTTTTCGACAAACATGTGCAACATCAATCAACAATATAACTACTATTGTTTTCGACAACTTTCAACTATCATATTCAATTACAAGTGTGTAGAAGCTAACTGTTTATGATTCGAAAAAAGCCAGTGAAACCAGAGTTGAATTCACAGATACTTACGAAGAGATCGGAACAAATGATAATTTCATGCCGTTAGTTTTGATGACTACAAGGAGTGCGCAAGAACCTTCTATCTCAACTGTTTGATTGTTTCTCAAGTCAACTTTGCCACATGAGATTGATTATTGTCAGGAAGAATAATAACGTCTTTTTGACACTATACGATTATCATTTGTTTCAACGTCTTTGCAACAAACAATTTGAAGATTTGTGTTAGCGAAAACCTGATCTCACTACTTTTCTCCAATCACAATCGCTAGTGCCTAGAAACGTGATATTGAAATATTGTCAGGAACATAGACAAACATTGTCAAGAACGATGACCATTAGATTGATGATGGATGTTGAAAAGTAATAAAGACAAAATCATGATATCAAGAATGTCAGACGAATAAACGATTAATCAGAGAAAAGAGGATTAAGGTGTATGTCATAAGAATTCACTGTAACAAATGGTCAAGATACAAAGATTATATCGACCTTCTAATAAGACTTCTTATATTTAAGCTTGTTGATTGTCGTTCTATGTCTGTCTGTAACTCTTCATTTACGTAGGAGTATAATTACTGGTCTTCATGTTGACACAGATTTACTCAAAGCCTTTAACAATAATTGAATGTAAAAGCTGTAGAAAAGTGCGGCATACAACCGATTACAGAGTATACGCTAGCAAAACGCAGAATGAATTATAAGATTCTAATATTTTTTATAATTGTTATTTTAAATGGCGAATCACATGCAGATCCAAGTATTTCTCACTATGGTTTACCTATTGGAACAGTCAGTCTTTTCGCTGGAATACATATACCAGCGAATTGGCTGCGATGGGTTGCTTCGAACATATCTCGAACAACGTATTCCAAGTTGTTTACCATCATCGGTACATTATATGGTATGTGGGAGATCACGTTAAGACATTTAGTTTACCTGACTTTTGTGACCACTTTCCATTTGGCATTGAGAAAAGACAAAGATCCAGCATCAAAACTGGTGGAGACTCTAAGCACGTATTGACAGAAGATGAGCTTCGTGAACATCAACAGGATATAGGAACATTTCACTTATCAAGCGATGGTGTGGGTGTGGGTGTGGATGTGAGTGTGGGTGGGTGTGGATGAAGAGAAGGCACACACCTACAGCAGCATCCACGCTCCGCCCACACACACCCACACACCTACACCACACCCACACATCCCACACCCTCTAGGCTCAAACCCAGACCTACATACACATTCCACCTTAATCAACATCACGCATATTAGATTATTAATTTTAGATATGTATTAATTATTGAACCTGACAAGAATGCTATTTGCATATATTGAAAAATATAACTGTCAACTAAGCATCGATTTATTATTAACTTTTGTAAGATCTTTTTAATATGCTGACGATAATCTGTTTATCGGCGATGTTATAATAATACTGACAATCAACTGACGTTTATCATTAGTCTTTTTGTTGTAATCTCGCTTCTTTAAACAATTAAGGCTCAATAACTTCGTCGATATCCT